TCGGAGTAAAGGGAACCGGAGAAATGAGGGTCTTCTCGTCCAGAAGCCCACCGTTTGCCGTGTCAATGGGAATGAGGTGGCATTTGAGTATGAAGGGCACATGATCATAGTTCAAGTCCCATGGCCCAATTCTTCTGGGCTTTCTGTAATTGAGTACCAGTTCTGATAACTATTTTTGGGTTTGGATCCTGAGTCCAAAATTGTATCCAACTCTTGCACGCAAAAATGTAAACTAAGACGGAAAAAAGTCTTATCAAGTGCATTACCAATACTCTCTGTCTGTCTCGCTCAGTTCTGTGCATATTCAGCATACTAAACTTTCTTTTAAATATTTTGTTAGGCGGTGTTTAACTGGGCCCAATAACTAATGCGAGGTAGTTTGTTGGCATGTTCTGATGCAAAACCAAAATTAATAGATTTCACGCTTCCGCCTGAGCATCGCCATACCATTGTTGGTTTGATTTGAGCTGTATCGTTTTCTCTGTATTGGACGGGATCTGCCCCGCACTGGGAAAAGTTAAAGAACTGATGACCGCTGAAGCCTTGACCGCTGGATGCTTAAGTGGCCAATGGGCCACGAGAAAGTTTCCCAGGGAAAGTACGAGCTTTATCCAACTTGTGCAGCTAATTCCAACTTGCAGTCGGAATAGGGTCATCATCATAAATTCATAATGTTCGTATCCATGGAAAGTTGCTCTCCGTTTTGGGCCAGTCATTCTCCTAATCATCTCAGAATTATGGAGGCAAACAAAAGGCGAAGTTGATTATAGAATTTGCATCTATTTTCCTATTAAAGCTAGTCAATTCTCCAGCAATAACTATTGGAGTCGGTTCGAGTAATCAGTTAATGACTCTTTGGGATTTTTTCCACCGCCAAGGAATCAAATCCTATGCCTGGCAACTGTGAGTGCGAAGAACCACCGGTCATTGGGGCGGTGGCTACTACCAAAGACTAAGTCTTGGTGGGTGAGAGATCAGGAATTCAAACTTTACCTCCTATCATTTACAGCAATATGTGATCTCTTCAAATTCATACGGGTGAGTAGTGTACCCGTCCCGATGGTAGTTCAGTCTTTGTTGACTCCTTATAAGTCCAGAGGTACATTTTATCCAGAGGTCCTTATCCTTATGTTTGAGGATAAGGCACGTTTTATCTTCATAAAACAAAAAATTTCGGTAGCAATTGACTGAAACATTTGCTTTTTTTTTTTTACATGGCCACTTTTAGAGAGATCTATAATCTATGGGTTGTTATTTCCATGAAATGTTGCAAAAATTTTGCTTGGAGGAGACATTAGAATTTTTGTTTAATAGAGCAAACAATGCTCCATATTTGCTAAATTATCTACTGCCAATTTACTTCCCTTGCATAGTAAGATGAACGAACTTGCCAATCTCATGCAATCATCTCTCTACAGTCACTCCAGACATAATAGTTTCTTCTGCAGTACCTTAACTAATAAGCTGCATCGCAGAAGCTGATGTGCAATGTGGCTTTCCTTAGGGGCTTTATTTCAACAGAGAGAGTATTTTTGATGCAAGAGTTATGTGCAAGTGGGACCCATCCACTCCAAGACATCGACTACTAATCAAGAGTCTTCCAAAAATAAAAAAAAAAGTTTAATTAAGGAAGAAGACATCATCATATCCTCATCTGGGTTTTTTTTTATTATTAAATTTTAAATTTCATTTTTTGCAACGGTAAAAACATTTATGGTATATTATTTTAAATTTTGAAATTAAATATCAATAATCGCATAAATAACCTGGGGAGGGCCAAAACGAAATTAATCCAAGCAAATTGTCAACTTAAGATCCAGAAAACGACATCGTTTTTTCGCCATTCCATTTCCGAGGAGCAGCGACGACGGGAAATACGGGTCTTGTTTAGATAAATTTCCCACGAAGGAAATGGAAAAAGAATAAAAATAAAATTCCCACGAAGGACGCCTCATAATTTCACATCGTCAAATTATCAAAAACCTTCACGCCAAATCCCGGAGGTAAGAATAACCCAGAACCATCCCAGAATTTCCCACCGTTTTTCTTCCATTCCACTCTCTCTCTCTCTCTACAAATATATCTATATTTATGCTAATAATTTAAGAAGTACTGCATATAATTCATTATATTATTGGTGTTAGGAGAATAATATATATTTAAGTGTCAACTACGATTGAGTGAATACTCGATGAATACATCCCAGTTTATGGACAAACAGATCATGGATCTATCCAATTCGCAGAGCCTCAATTCTCATAATGACTTCATCGATCTGATTAACCCTCGCGAGGATCACCGCATCGGGAATTCCGACAAGAAAGAGGAGATCCTTCCCAGCTATGATTTCCAGCCGCTTCGCCCCATTGGGACCGAAATCGATTCCGGCAATCTTGATGCGCCGCCTAGGGCTTGGAATTCAGCCGACAACAAGACTCATACGGGTGGAATCAGGGTAAAGTCTTTTTTTTTTTTGTTTTATTTCCCAGTCTATACTTTATCTTTGTATTTTATGTTTAGGAAGACTAAACCAATTTTGGACTTTATATATTCTGGGTAATTTAAGGTTGGTCGATTTTGGTTATGTTTTGGCCTATCCACGTTCTCCCTTTTTTGGGCTGTTTTAGTACTTAAAAGGCGTACTCTTGGCAGAACTGAAGTAGTACTACTGATTAAGCAATACAAATGTTGATGGATTTACGGCTTCGCTTGAAGTTTAATGTGACAAGCTTATTCCTCAATCTTGATTTAGGAAGCGAAAAATCAAATGTTTTTGGCGGCGATCAAATTGTTATTGTTTGTTTAATGTCTACAATTAACATATATGGTGATGCTGTGCGGTGTATGGTTATCAAAAGGTTGCAACTGGAAAGGCCCTCGGTGGGTATGAAATTGTACAAAGTATATACCATTAAGATTTAATAATAGTTCCGAGAAACATCGAAGATTAGATCAGAATCAGGCCTGAGGGAGAAAGAGAGTGGACATTGATTGATAACGGGGTTGGTTTTTTGATATTAATAAATCACTGAAGGACATTTTAAATCCAAATTATATAAGACTAACTTATTTGTGCATGAAGTATACCTGTGGTATAAGAACGCCTAGAGGACAAGTTAGGAGGAAGAAGAAAGGAGGTATCTTTTTACCTCCAAAAACAGAAAGGTTTTGTGTTGATTGGAGCGGGACTTGATATTAGCTAGTGGATAGGTTCCTCTACATTTTTTTTTCAATTTTGTTTTTGATGGAACTTGATTTTCTAAACAGACTTACAGTTCTTTTGACTCCTTCGAACCTGGAAGAGTCATTTTGGAGAAGGATCAAAATGTTGTTGACCCCAAGTTGGTGTCTGAGATTGATCGTACCATGAAGAAGTATGCCGATAATCTGATGAATGGATTGGACAGTGTTAGTGCACGATTAACACAGTTGGAGTCCAGGACCCGTCACCTTGAAAATTCTTTGGATGAATTGAAGGTCTCTGTCGGAACTAATCATGGGAGCTCTGATGGGAGAATGAGACAGTTGGAAAATATTCTTAGAGAGGTATCTCCATTTCTCTCTTTACCCGTCTGTTTCAGAGCATTTTCAGTTCACTGACAATTTGTTTTTCCATTTGATTAATTAAACTATTCCAGATTTACTGCATAGATTTTAGGAGGTTGTTGATGGGATGGTAATATTTTACTTGCCACTCATTTTTGAGAAGTTTATGCATGCGAGGGTTTTGTTTTTAATAGAAATGCACCTTTCCGGGGTTGTAATGTTTATATTGTGCATTATTTTCTGGTGCATGGCCACGTTGATCTTATCTCCTCACCTTCTCCAGCCATTGCAAGTTATTAAGGTCAAAAGGTTGGCTAAAATAATTATTTGAGATCTACTGCTATTGGCTACTTAAGCCTAGACCCTTTTTTTTTTTTTAAATCCAAACTTGTACAGATTGTCTGAGTTAACCCACACCTGTATTATTGAAAATTTTTATTCCCTTGCAAAAGTGCAACAGAGTGTTAGTGGTAAACAGTTAGAGCAAGATAGTTGCCTTTTAAGCTCAGTCTTAAGTGTTGAGCTAGACAAATATATTGGTCCAAATAATCAGCATCTCTGCACTAGAGACTGATTTCATCTATGCCATTTAAGGTCTCTTTAGCACAGGCACTTCACAATTATGCTTGTAGATGCAGTACCTGCACTGTTTTTTCCCTTCATGAGATTGTTCCTGAGTTTTCCTTTTGTCTTCCCATAATGGCTTGGAAAATGAACAAAGCTTGTCTGGATTGGTACGTCTTATTGTTTTTCTCATCTTGCAATCAGGCTCCTAGGTTGTTTCTTGACTTGAAATGAATATCTAATTTTGTCAGATTTAAATTGTCATGCGTAATGTTTATGCTTCTCCTCCTCCTATTATCTCTCTCTCTCTCTGTTTTTTGTTGTTTGTGTTGACTGCATCAAAAAATGGGTACAGGTGCAAAATGGTGTACAGTTTATAAGGGATAAGCAAGAAAATTTGGATGCTCAGCTGCATCTTGCAAAGCTGCAAGTTTCAAAGGCTGAGCAGCATGTGGATACACAGGGCACCAGTCATTTGGATTCTTCACAACCTGCATTATCTGTTAGTCAACAATCTCACCAGCACCTTCCTCCTGTTGCTCAAACACCGTCAGTTGTCCCTCCTAATGCTCCTCCACCGGCCTCGCAACAAAATCTACCACCTCAAGTCCAGCTGCCAAGCCAGTTCTCTCATAATCAACTTCCTTCTGTTCCTCAGCAGGAGCCTTATTTTCCACCACCACGCCACCAGCTGGTCAAACATCAGAGAACTTGGGCCAGCAATATCAATTGCCTCCACCACAGCAGCTGCAGGCTTCTTCGCCACCTCAGCTGCAGCAACAGTACCAAGCCCTCCCTCAACTTCAGTATTCTCAGCCTCCTGCACCTCCTCAACCACACAACTCTCTCCAAGCTGCTAATCCCCCCCAACACCAACCTGCATTAGCCCATCATCCTGAAGAACCACCTTATGTACCATCTCAAAGTTATTCTCCAGCTAACCGCCAAACTCCTTCCCTTCCACCTAGCGCAGCTCCTCCCCACCAGCAGTTCTATGGAGCTCCCCCGCACATGTATGAGCCGCCATCTAGCCGGCCTGGTCCAGGATTTTCTGGGACATACGGCCCAGCCTCTGTTTCTGGGGAACAATATTTGTATGGCGGTTCATCATCCCAGTATGGCAGTGGATCACCTGCGAAATCTCAGCAGCTTTCCTCTCCTGTCATTGGCCATGGTGGTGGAAGTGGTTATCCACAGCTTCCTACCGCACGGATTTTACCTCAAGCAATACAACTGCCTCTGGGTCAGTGGTGGCTCTGGTTCTTCAGGTTCTGGAAACAGGGTTCCCGTTGATGATGTGGTTGACAAGGTGACAAATATGGGATTTCCGAGAGATCAGGTGCGAGCAACAGTCCGGAAATTGACAGAGAATGGGCAATCCGTTGATCTTAATGTGGTGTTAGATAAATTAATGAATGATGGGGAAGTCCAGCCTCCACGAGGCTGGTTTGGTCGGTAACTCATCTTTTTCTGATGTGTGTTCATGTACAGAAGGTTGTTGGGGCAGCCATTTGCTGAAAGAAATATCTGTTTGGATCTCGGGGGGCACTTTTGGTTACTGTTTCATAATTTTTGGGTACTAATGATGGCTGTGCATCTCTTAGACTGTTATTCTTGCCTCTTTGCTTGTGGCGCATGAATCGGCGGCGTCATATCCTTTCCTTTCTTTGCCCCGTGGCGTTATTGGCGTTGGTGATATTCAGTGTGCACTCTGTAAAGCAGACACTGAAGGCATTCATCGAGTCAATTTGATTTGTCAAGGCGTTTAGGCAGCAAAATGAACTTCTCACCTTTTCGTTTTTTTTTTTTTTTTTTTTTTAAACATTTATGATGTTGTTTTCAGAAATAACTTCGAAGAAGATTTCCATAATGTCTATAAAGATTATCTCATGAAATACAGGTGAAAGAAATTAACCACATGTTTGCAGTTTTAATTGTTTGAATAATGCTGCACTTTTATGAACGTTTTGTTTTGCGCGTAAGGACTGACCCTATTATTAAAAAAAAAAAGGGTGACTGATAAAAAACATTGAAATATCTTGATTATGTTGTCAATAACAAATATGCTACTGTTGTTGTCTGCTGTAATTGCAAGGACCTTGTCTTAAATTTGCTTAAGTATGACCCTTTTGTCGGTTTTCTTTGTATTCCTAGGATGTTAAAAAGAGATCGAAAACTTAAAAATGAAAATTTTACGTTGTTTTCATCCCCAGTGCAAAATAGAAATAGACTGCTGCTATATTTCTTCAAATTTTCCAGCAAGTCACGTCTTTCATTAGTTGGGTTACATGTGTATTAAGTTCCTAATTTCAGTCGGTCAAGACACGGTACGCATTGGTCAAATTCAACGTATACGTAAGAAATTAGAGGAGACGCTTGAAATATTAATGTGTGTGTTTGGATAGGATATTATTTAGGAGAGTGGAAATTCATAACTATGATGTAAGTTTTAGGAAATTTGCAAATGAAGTATGGGTTATTGTTTGTAAATTTAAAAAACATTTTTTGTTCTAGATAAAATTACGATTTTATTCTTTTGCGCACATATTAATACTTGTACATGCACATGCATCATATTTGCACATTTGAACGTATATATGTACACATGTATCGATTTTAAATGTGGAGATTTTGGATGTGTACGTGCAATTGCCAACATGCACATTTCTAACCCTAAAAGTGAACTTTTTTTAAAAAAAAGAAAAAGAAAAGCGCACATTTCTATTCAATGCAGTGCATATAATTACTGGGTAATTTAATCTAATGGTAAGTTTATTATTCATTTTAAGTTATGAACAGCAGCCCATACCTCATTTATAAATGTTCCAATACTTACTCTGCTCATAAATTTTCAGCCTTCCTACTTTTTCCTTTTCAAAATTTCCCAAAAACTTTTTTTTGGGCTCGAACACAGAGAGCGTGTTCAGTGTAATTATGTTAAGAAGACATATGGGCTTGCTATAGACTACCCCGCGGCCCGCAACTCCAATCCCAGCCCAAGTTAAAGATCTGTTATGACCAGTAGTAATTGACAGCCGCAGGTGAGGCGTAGAATAGAGGTCTTGGTTGAGTATTTTTTTTTTTTTTTTTTAAATATATAAATCCAAGTACGGTCACCATGCTTTTTGGGTTCTGCTGGCCTTCCAGACTACTTTTTGGGCCAATCCATAATTACACTAAAACTGCTACAACTATTCAAACGCTTGCGGAACTGCCCCGGCATTAATCAGCACTTTTGGCTGCGACAAAATTTCGAATGATGAATATGTCTACATTTTAGCAACACATGAGGGTTGTTTTCTTCAATTTACGATAAAATTATTTTATTGGCTACCCAAATCCGTCCGTGTTTCTTCTGTAAAACCCTCCTTTTTTTCTCTCCTTTTCTTCTTCACAGGGTGCGTGAGAGAGAAGAGAGAGAGAGAGAGACAAAACGACATTTGGACGGAGGGGAGCTTATACAATATAGAGATTGCAAATACAGACAAAATTCTGACTTGGCGTAAGCTGCAAAATTACGGTCCGATTACTATTGGAGGAAGAAGCTACAGCCTGCTCTCTTTATCATTTCACCGAAACAGAGGAGAAAAAGGGAACAGAAAAAGTAAAAATGTTCGAAACCCTAATTCACAATTCAACAGGTTTCGCTCGTTTACCTTCTAGTTTTTCGTTTTTTCAATTCGTTATTGCTATTGGATTTTGTTTTAAGTTGTGTGATCAAATTGCCTTAATTGAATTAGGGTTTGGGCTTTGTAATAGCTTTTATTGTTAGTGCTACTATTTTTCTTTTTCCTTTCCCTTTTATGTTGGTTCCCATTGTATGCGACATTATCTGGACTGGCTTAAGTACTGAACTCTTTTTTAAGTGTTCATGGCATTGCTTACTTTATTCCTTTTATTTTTTTTTTTTTAAGTAATTTTGCTCCATTTCTTCCTTCTTTTGGGCTGATGAGCTACAGTGGGTATGCCTGGGATAAGAGCGCCCCTTCTTAGATTATTGTTCTGTAACTGCTGTTCGATATCATCTGTACACTTTACTGGCTGTGGAACTAGGGTCTGGCCTTTAGGTATGAGTATCTTGGGTGAACTGCATGACTGGTGCACTTGGCTCCTACATGTGTACATGCTGGCCCTTTGGTTAGTTGTGGAATTTATAGATAATTGATTTTTTGTTACTTTCTCTTTTTATGAACTGCTGAGGTTTTACTGCATTTTGGGAAATATTTACTTTCGGTTGGTTTGATGGAAAGCTGGATGTTTGTTTGCATAGTTATGTAGTGTCTTTAAATGGCCAATTCTCGTGTACTCTTTAGCATTTAAGATTTTTTTGGTAATTGAATGTGCATCTCGTCATATGTGTAGATAAATCTTGTTGCCTAATGTTGACTCCTTGGACGCTCATTTATTGAAATAGACCACATAGGATTTTGATGAAGTGTGACTCATTGGTTTGACATTTCACAAGATTATAAGAGAGATGAGTTAAGTAAAACACGTGTTATTAGTCTTTTTTGGAGTCAAATTGATCAATTTCAATGCAAGATTTTCAGTTCCAGCCATGTCTGTGCGTTGTCTCCCGTTTGAGATGTTTACTGAAGATTAGGTAATGGTCTTCAAGCATAAGCCCATCAAGTCTTTATACACTTGCAAGCTCCTTCTGTCTCTGTCTCTCTCATACCCCCAGACAGAGGCACACCAATTTCAGTACTCCCACACATTTAAATTTTTCTCATGCTCATTAATGGTCATCACTTGAACTGTTTCTTTTTGTATGAATGGTGTTATTTCAGTGTTATCTTTTAAATTTATATGGACGATGGTGGTGGACTGGATGAGATTTAATTACACATTGAAAAAGGAGAGCTTTTCCTGCCAAATTTTATGGGGAGGTTAAGAATTGCCAAAAATTTTGACTAAGGCAATGCTAAAATTGTAGTTCCTGATGAACACAAGTTTTTTTTATTACCACCATTCTAATTGATTATGCTTCTGTATTAAGGTGATGTGTTTCTTGTCACCAAAACTAGAATTCAGGACCTAATGCAAATTTGACATTAATGTTGTTGCTTGCAGTTCTTCATTTATTTTGGAGCTATGGAACTTCTTGGGGACATGAATTCTCTGTTTCTAAAGTGACCTCTGAACTGCTTGTAGTTTTATGACATATTTAAGGCTATTTTACTAAAACAATAAAAGAGCAGAGAGAGAGAGAGCTGGAATAGATTGCAAAAAATTGGATACCTTTGTAAATAAGACTCCACATCATGAAGGCTGATGGACAGAATATGGATGGGGTAGACGTTAGATTATGTTGTGGTGATTGAATTGGTGGTAATGAGTTGGGGATAGATTAAGGGAAAGGTGGTTGGTCAATCTATTATGAATCATTTCACAAAATGGCAAAGGAATGGAGCAACATGTCTAGATGATTAATTGGTGCATTTAGGTGTGGATGGTACCAGAAAGCCACCTTGATTTTCAATAATTGGAGAAAGTGCTCCTTAAGCACTAATGTACTGAGCAAGGCTTTTCATGGAGTAGCTGCTTGCTTGAAATGACTTTACCTTAGAAGTTCATTAATGTCCATTTGCAAAGCTCATTTACGAGGTGGACTGTCATTCCAGATGAGTTATACCAAATGGGCTAAAAGGTTGACAAAAACGAAGTGTGGCACACAGCAATACACAAGTAGACAGGTTTTTTCATATCGGATTTGTTTTATTAATATTTCTGTTTTTAGTTTTTCATTTTGGATTTTTAGTGTTGGCTACCCTGGCAATGCTGGTGCTGGTTCTGGTTTTTGGACTATGAGTAATTTGCACTTGGAAAGTAATTGTTTTTTAGAACTAAGACTGTTGAGTACCTTTGTTGTTACACAGGTATTCTTTTGAATAGTAGTAGTTGGTGGAGTAGTAGGGACAAGTTGCTTCTCAGGTGTTAGTGCACTTTGGCCACATTGAGGGACTCTGATATAAATGTCAAATGTTGAGGGATAATCTAGTTTACTCCAATCAAAGGCAACATGGATTTTTGACAAATCAAGTCTAGTCTCTTTTGTCGTCCTTGAATATCGATTTTAGTATTAGTATTGTGGTTTACATTTAAAAGTAATTACTGTGCTTTGATTTCATGCAAAGGGAATTGTTTCTTCATTTAAGATGCCTAAAGCAACATATTATGCATGTTAATTCTATCACTTAGCTTATGAATGTTGTTATTTCTGCATTTTGACATTCCTATCTGCTTAATCAATGCTGCTCTTTATTTCAGGCGCTAGCCCTCTTTGCTGATTCTGTAAATAAAGTGGTTCTCATTATTCAGCTGCCTGGCATCATACTTTTTGATGCTATAAAATTATTTGGTCTTGGTCTTCTTCTTCATAAGAGGTTGAATGGAGCTAAAAGTCACTTCTCCTAAAATAGGCCTTTCTCCTGCTAGCGATCCCGAGGAGAAAGAAATTAGTGAAGACGATGATGATGATCGTAATCATAAGCATCGTAGACGAGAAGCACGTTCTCAATCATTGGAGGGTGATGCTTCTGAACAAGTTTTGACAAGACCCTACAGAAAAAGGAAGCCATTTGAAAATGGGCATCCTTGTAGGGAAAGTGGTTCTCAGTCTAGTGAAACCTGGAAGACCTACAACTCGGCAATCAGGAGAGAGATTCCTCTGGTAGGTTTGAGAAAAGACGTCCAAATTTGGCATCATTTTCCAGAGCTCCAACAGATTTAAGCCAAAGAATTAGGTTAAACCAGTCCCTGTCAGCTGATCCTGGGCCCACTAGGGGCAGAGGTAGAGAATCTGGTGCTTGGGGGCAGCGTGATTCGAGGTTTAGTTCTGCAGATATTGCTTCTCAACTTGTTCAACAGGGATCCATTCCTCCTAGTCTATTTGCAGGTAGGGGGTTACCGAATGTTTCCAATGTGCAGAGTGCAACTTGGAATGCATTTGGGTTGGTTCCAGCTATGCCTAATGGTGGTCTTGATACTCTTCATTCCATCGGTTTGCAAGGGGCATTGAAACCATCAATTAACCCTACGGTGAACTTGGGCATTCTCGTCCACGTTGTAGAGATTTTGAGGAGCGTGGTTTTTGCTTAAGAGGAGATATGTGTCCGATGGAGCATGGTGTCAACCGTATAGTTGTTGAGGATGTTCAGGTACATGATTTGTGACAAAGAAATTTTGTTGGTAGTATTTCTTGTCTTTTATTGCCCAGTTATATCGAATTTAATATTGCATTTTACATGTCTCAATCTATATTGTCTCCACACATTTCTACATTCCATGTGGCTTGAATTCTTCAGTTTCTGCATGTATATCTGTCTTAAGTTGCGACAGGTGGCTGTGGAATGGTAAATTTGGCATAGTCCTGTTGTCAACTCTTTTGCAGCCAAGTCCTAGTGTACTTCTAACAAAATAATTTAACTTGTTTCTATTCAGGGAAATACCTGTCAGGACTTCTGGATAAATAAAACTAGCTTAGTGTTCTTTGATCAACTGCATGTCGCATGGGTTAATCCTTGCCACCATAGGCGCAGAAAACAGTCATGAACTTTACTTGTTGAATACATAGAGATGCTGGATAATGTAGTAGTTCAATAAAGCATTGCATAGTTTGGGGAGTGTGGATATAGCTAGTAATATTTTCTTCTTGTTAGAAGAAAATGACAGTTACCATTAGTGGATGAAAGAGTAGCCAAAATAATGTATTTTGTTTTCTTCTCATATTATTGCTCCTTTTAACTATTCATGAATTTCTTTTTGAGGAAGTAAAAGATGCTCTTTTTTTTTTCTATGATTTAGATTTCTGAAGTAGTAAATCTGATTCCCCATACAATACACTGCTATGAACAATTCTTGGGCAAGTTATTGCATGTGCATTTAACTAGACTTCTCTTTTCTTGCATTGCAGAGCCTTTCACAGTTTAATCTTCCTGTTTCATTGCCTAGTGCACATCTATTGGGAACACCTGCTGGACAAGGACCTCTACCTGCAAATTCTTCTTCTGGCGCATTCATGAATAGCAAATGTCTACAGAGCAAAAATAGCAAGCCTGGAATAGGGGATGATGGATTAGGTTTGAATGGTGCTTTTGTTGGTGGTTCTATGGCAGGAGGATCTGATCTGTATGATCCTGACCAACCTTTATGGGCAAGTGATTGTCCTGATACATCACCTGAACTTCTAGCCCTAAATCCATCCAATCTGGATAAGGTTGAGCCTCTGGTGGATGCAGATTGTTCAGATCGTCTTCCAGTTGGACAGTTTGATGGTTCTGATAATGAGCGTCCAGCAAGAAATGCTGGGGCTGTTACAGGCTCTCAAAGTTCCTCTGTTTGGGGAAGGATTGGCAGTTCAAGAAATAGGGGGGATGTGAGGGAGAAGATTGATTCTACTTTGAATTCCCCTAGTCATCTAGAAAATGAAGCAAAAAAGGACATGGAGTCCATTAACGGTGCTGCCATTGCCCTACATGGAAGACGGACGAAGGCAGATGAAGTTGGCATGCAAGTTTTAGGCTTGTCTTCAAAGCCACATGGTGATTCTGGACGTAGTATTAGAAAACCATCTCAAAAGGCACTTCGTACTCTGTTTGTCAGTGGTGTTCCTCAGAAAGAAAACAAAAGGGAAGCGCTTCTTTTACATTTTCAAAAATTTGGTGAGGTTATTGACATTTATATCCCATCGAACAGTGAACGAGCTTTTGTTCAATTTTCTAAGAGGGAAGAAGCAGAAGCTGCCTGAAGGCTCCTGATGCTGTAATGGGCAATCGCTTTATCAAGCTGTGGTGGGCTAACCGGGACAGCATACCTGATGATGGAACAGGTGGTGTTGGTAATATACATGCTAATCCCCGTGGTGTGACCTTTACTGGGGTCCTACCTATCCATCTGCTACCACCAAAGGAAAAGATAATATCCAAATATCAGGGTCGAAAAGTAGTATTGCCAATTCTGCCATTTCTCCTTTGCCTGGTTCTGATCATCCAAAGCCTGTGGCTACCAATGGCCCCAAAGCTGTACCTCCTTTGCAAAAGAAGCTGGAGAGTTTAGAGCTTTTGAAGAACAAGTGCGAAAGAAGCAGGAAATGCTTGACCAAAAAAGGAATGAGTTCAAGCGCCAGTTAAATAAACTGGAGAAACAAGTACTGGTTACTTCTTTCATTAGAAATTTCATGAGTTGTCAAGAGCATATTTTCTTTTCTGGAAATTTTGTATTTTCCTGTTGCCTGGATTGTTTATCTTAGATCTCCTACCTGGTGTCTAGCATCACATCTTAGTTGCAAGTCAAAAAGTATCTGGCAGTGAGTCTCAAGATACATACTAAAACACACTTTGAGAAAAGATTGGAAAGTGAATTAGGACATATTGTTTATGTATAATGTGATGATATCTTGGTTACAAGTAGGGAATATGTATGGTATATTTCCATAAAATTGTATGTATAGTAACTGACCTACTGCTTTTCATTTGGATTTCTTTTCTCAAGGGTTCAGTTTTTGCAGGCCACTGGTCTTAAAGAGGAGGTAGCATTGGATCAGCCTTCTAAGGGGCAAAAAGGAGGCATGGTGGTTGATGTTGCTAAAATTGAAATGTTGAGGCCAGTGATTCTGGTACTGCTATTTCATCACACGCAAGCAGAGACGACAATGGATAGTGGCAGAGCTGGTGAGAGTGCTGTGGCCCGCAGTCCAAAAATTAATTCTACTATTACATTGCCAGAATCCTCAATTTTGAAACCCTCAATTCGCCCATTGGCACCTTTAGGAGCACCGATGGTCATCAACAGATTCAAACTGGATAACCGCCCCACTGCATTCAAAATTCTTCCACCTCTGCCTGCTGGTCTTGCTAATGTAATCTCTCTTTTGGTTTTCCTGACATATTCATGTCCTTGCTTACAGATAATTTTATTTCCTTGCAATGAGCTACCATATGTTGCACAGTTTTTTCACACTAAACAGTTCCCCAAGAGTCATGCTGCTGGCTCTGAGGACTGTTTTTTCTTCCTGAATTTGATTTTGTAAGAATCAGCTTGAGCAGGTCGTACCTTGTACTGAGTTTTATGCTTCTAAGTCTATTAGATTCTCATACTGAGCATGACATTGTTTTGAGTACTTGCGCAATATATGATTCACTGTAAAAGATTATGGAATTATTCTTTTTCAGAGTTTTTCTTCTTTTTCCAATTAAAATTGGATGTATGCTTTAATCAGCACCAATCAAAATCGGGGTTGTAGTTTGGGACTTTGTATGTTTTCATGCGGTTGGAATTATCTGCATAAATATTTTGTTGTCCCTGATGTCTTGTCAGATTGTGAGTGCTGATAACTTGTTTATTTCTACTAGGTTTCCAATCTGAAGGAACATTTCTCTGTTTTTGGAGATCTCTCTGTTGTCGAACTGGAAGATACCAAGCCTCAAGATGGTGATAACGAGTCAGAGGCATCCAAAGTTTCAGCTCGTATATCTTTTACACTCGCCGCTCTGCCGAAAAGGCATTTTTACATGGTAAATGCTGGCAAGGCCAGAATTTGCAGTTTGGGTGGCTGTCTTGTAGTAGCACAAGCAGGGACAATAATAGTGGGAAGGAACACCCTTGTGCTTCTTCGAAATGGTCTTCTGATGCTACTGTTCAATCTGCTGGGGAAGTGGAAATCCAGGCCGCAAATACCTTGGGAAACGCTGAATCTCAAAATCTGAAACTAAAAGCAAGAGATGCAGAGCATGTGGACCGGATGAAGATTTGGAATCTACTTCAACAATGGTGTCTGGTGGGAAAAATTCGCCTTGACAGTTTTTGATCGTGGCCTAATTGTCAGAGTTGTACAGAGAGGTATTTTTTTATGAGTAAAATGATTCAAGTGTCCTAGCAATTTCTGTAATCTGGTCTCAATTTTGTTTAATCTCTTATATATTTTGGAAATGTAAAGGGGGAATATCCTGATGATCAGCTCTAAGCTGTTCAGGTACGCTTGTTAGTTGTAACAAATTGTTTAATTTTTAAATTTTAAAGATTTTAGAATTGAGAAACTTAGTTCAAAAAGTTTCATCTATGACAAAGGTACATTTGGCGTTTGGCTTCTTTACCTCTTTTCTGTTGCTCTACTGGTACAAAGCACGCCGAATTACATAGTTTCTTTCAGAGTCTAGTTAATTGGTCCTACTAATGGTTAGCCTTTTGTGATCTTCCCTGAAAGCTTTGATATATTAGACTTCCATTTTGCGGCGGGTCACGACCTAGTTGTTATTTGTTAAGGTTTTGGCATGACATGATTTGATAGAACCAGAGATTAAGGTTAAAGGGTGCAAATTTGTGCATTTGAGAAGGTACCTTGATATATTTTACAAGCTCCCCGGTTGTTTTTTTTTTTTTTTTGTGGGAGGGGTGGGAGAGGGGGGGGGAGCCAAATATTTACATAGAAAATGTTGAAGTTCTTGAAATGTTGAAAGATGAAAAGAAAAAATTGGAGGGGCAAAATCTAATTTTTACTAGAATATAAGTGAAATTTTTAATTATTTTAAGGGTTATGAAAGGATTTCTAAATTTTTGCCCCACGTCCTCTCCTCCCTTCTCCCAATCGCTTGTAAAATCTGCCAATGTGTTCGAGCATTTACACGCTAAAAATCACTGTAACATAAATTATTATTTTATAAGATTAATTAGTCAAATGAACATTGAAAATTGTGTTAGTATGCATGCATACGAAATGAGATAAAAGTGGTTAGAGGAAGAAAAGAGTTGAAGTTTAAGATTTAAATGAAGGAAAATGAGCTATCGTCAGTAGTAGTTGGAACTGTAATAAATATTGACATACACTACTATTTCTTGCAGTACACAGCCCAATTCAATTCAATGAAATCTTTCATTCACAGTAATTAAATGAAAGAAAGCATTATAACTCCATTGAATTGAAGGGATCCACTAACCACATTTGAAGCGGATGGCTGCTCGATGGTGCGATAGTTGATCATCCGAGCAACGACCCAATTCAATTCATGTTACCATACCAGCACTAGTTAGTTAATTGCAAGTTGTGGCTGACGTCGTGTTACGTCAGAAATGATCACCCGCCTATTAATTGAATTCCAAGGATCCAATTCATCAAAATAGATTCAAGGTTATGATCGGACGCCATCAACTCAATTTCAAGATGATTCAACTCAAAAATGGATTCACGGTTCAGATCGAACGCCACATCAACTCGATCCAATCTAAGCCACTCATTTCAAATTTTTGTAATTGTAAAATGAATGGTCCATGACTGAATCGATATGATCCGATCTGAACCATTAACTGCCCCGAATCCCATTAGTACACTGAGAACTCAGCTACCGGCCATCAGATTCTAGGTAAAGGAAACGATTTGCAGGAGTTAATCGCTTCTGGAACGAAATCAGACGTCATCTCGTGAAAGAAACAGTTCCCGGGCTAATGCAACCAAGTTCCTCGTACACTTTGACCGGACCAAAAGCCCGCCAGTATTTATCACATACAATTCTATGAACTGGATCTGCATCGTTGGTAGCCGCTGAAAACAATTGACCACATTACATCTCGATCACAATGTGTCCGGGACCACCATATTAGCAAGCTTAAGTCGCTTGTCTACAGGCAGATGGTTATTTAGCAGAACACAGGCATGATGCGTCACTTTCAACAGAAGCGCTGCATCTCATCCTCAGTCCTGTCAATAGACCTTTGAGAAGGTGTATAATTATCCTTTGATCTGCACAATGCCCAAGCATAAAGTCGTTCTGTCAACGTCCACAAAGACAGTACTACGGCTTCTGCTACACCACCAAAATGCAATCTAAAAGCACACTTGCAAGCGTGACAGGTAGATCACTCAGTACGGTGTCCGCATCCACAACCAAAACAGGCATATACTTGCAATAGTTACCGCATAAAAGGCCAAGAAATCGCAGCGCCTGCAAAGGAAGGAAAAGAACATGCAGTGAAGTCAAAGCTTTTAATGGTAGTAGGCATTCTGGGATTTGGACATTTTTGTGATAATCAAATGTAACTCCACTTATTTAGTCATCCCACCTTGCTTTTTATCATATAAAAAGCAACTCTTGTTCTTTATCTCTATGGTTAAGACATAATTAGCCACCTGAAACTTAAAACCAACAGGTCACTGCATACCGTGGAAGGATAACTCGTCACACAGCTAATTTGCAGTGTATCGAGAAGCCACTGTCTTTTGATACTTTCCTCTGCATGTTGCAGGGTTGCAGCAACTTCCACCAGAACATTCCAAATAACTGCAAAAACATTGAAGTCAGAAATCAATTTGCTTTTCAAGTATTGATTCTTTACTATTATTTCCAGGGGTTTGGAGCTGGCCGCATAATGTAGATGCTATAAGGAACACTCCAGGATCAGGTAACCATCAGAACAAACCAGTGAAGTACATTTTATTTTTTTTTTCCTTTTTTTGGTCCCCTATACTTAATGCTTGCCATGCTGTACACAATTTAATGGTCTTCCTATACTTTATGCTCTCTAACATAAATTTTACAGTCTGACCTTGTGATCTAGTATTCAGCATACAAGCTTTCAATCTCCCAAGCTCATTTAAGGGGATGGAACCAATTCGCACCAGCCTCGCTTTAGCTTGAATCTTTTTCACAACTTCAAAGAATTGGCCATTGTCCTCATGAAGGTCCCCTCAGGTGCCTACATGTAGCACAAGATGGCTGTAGTTTACAATGCTAGCTCAAGCAAAAAGTAATTTCTACCTCGTAAACACAATAACTCAAACCTATATCAACACATTAAGCCCCACATGTGAACAAACAGTCGGCATAATACTATATTCCAACAGATCATTCATTTATGTGATTCTAGAATAAGATATAAAAATGGGCAGATTAATACAATTTGACAAAAAGCCTGACAACAAAAACTCCCTTTCCCCAACCCCCCAGCCCCAACCACCCAAAAAAAGGAGAAAGAGAGAGAGAACCTCATGGCAAAGAAAATAAAAAAAATAAAAAAAAAAGAAGAAGACTTGAACCAATACCTTCAGAAGATCTAATAACCATCCCTGGTTAGCCTTTCTTAGACACCTAACTGCTTCAGACCACTCCTTCAAAATTCCAGAACATGATTCGCCAATGGCCACGGCAGGTAAAAAAGCAAAGAGCATCTTCATGCAGTTCTCAAGGTTCGACATATGATGTTGGGCATCAAGAAACTCTTCATCCAAACATAAGTAGAGACCCTTCCAACAGGAAGCCCTTAACAAGCTTTTCTCTTCTGTGCTGTACTGTTCAGAAGAGACTAACCAAGAGAAGTAGTTGGTTACATCATCAAATAGCTTCTCAACCCTTGAAAGTGAGAATATCTTGATCAGGTCTGCCAGATGCAAAAGCAAACATGACTGCAAATTCAGGTCAAGTGTCCTAAACCTGGAAAGGTCAGAGAGCTCATCAAGAAATACAAGGAGCGAATGAAACTGGTTTGCATGCGATAAAGAGAATAATAAACATTCCTGTCGTAGAACTCCTTTCTTAACGGAAGACTCGGGGGCACAATTTAGCAACTTGGTCTCATATCTCATGCACCTTCTAATGATTGCTCCCAATCCAACTTTGGCAATCTAGAGCATATGAAAGGCACCGCAAAGCAGTTATTACTGAAACAACATTTGAAGTGGCACCCATCTGCATCTGAAAGCAGCAGAAACATCAGAAGTAGAAAACAAGACACCTGCTCAAAGTTAGTGGTGAAGTTGGTCATTTCAAGTAAAGTTGCTCCTTCAATGTTTGAATAGCAGTATCTCTCTGTAGCACCGCAGTTTCGACATAATCCTAAAGTCCAAGCAAAGACTGAAGGACATGACATGGCAACCCAGAGTCTAAGAGTCTTCTCCTGAACTAAGCTATATGCCTGTCTCGTGTATCTTATCCTAAAGATAGGCACAAGGTTTTGTTGAGCTGTGTCCTGTTTAGTTAGAAACTACCTTTGAGAGAGTCAAAAAAGAAAGGACAGAAATGCTAAAGAGGAAAACAACAAGGACTAATCTTAAAGATCTTATTGTACATATATAGTTACTCTGGCATTACCCTCATCTGTCTAGAAAAAAGAGGTATGGTACGAGGATGCAATTATTATCGAAAGAAGAAACTAAGGCCAGGCAGAAAGCAGCATAGCAAATAGAATCATTTGGAAAAGCATTTCTAGGTTTCATCTGGCTATTAAGATTCAACTTTGTTTCATGATCAGATATCATCACTAGCCTTTATACATATTGTTTGCAAACCACCTACAGGATAACCGCTAGAACAGATCTTTTTATAACATATTGCCGGATCAAGTACTTCATCTCTCTCATCACGGAATCTTCCTATATGCTGATAGATGAGTTGAACAAAGAGACACAGGAAAGCATCTAACAAATGCCCTGGTAGTCAACCATATCAGATCTTATCTCCCACACTTATCTTCCTTTCCTTCCTTCTCTTGCACTATCAACATTCAGAATTAGCTTCAAGTTTGCTTTCGCTTTGACATCGTCCTCCCCTTCCTAGACTGTGTTATTGTCTGCTCTGCTGTCCTATTTATAAAGGCTGGATTGGTATGGCAGTTAGGCATAAGGTGTGTTTGTGCACAAGAGGCCATCATGATAGGTTATCAGAAATTCTTGGTGTTATGTGCCAAGGCATAAAGTAAGGGCAGTTTACTCCCCCAGATTGCAGAATGAAGAGTGTAAGATCCTGGCTTGACTTAATTTGTGTCATACATGAACTAAATTTAAACCAAACATGTAAAAGATATAATCACACCAGCACATGCTAAATGGTAAAATTTAGTTCTGTACTTAGCCAGATATGCTATTCAGGTAAAGAGCAAGCAATTTAGTATTCAGGTCCAATACACTGCAGGCTTTTACTTTGAAGTTGCAGATCAAATATCTGTGAGATAATAAAATTTGACTGGCTAAATATTAACAAATATCTCATCTTGTACATGTATTTCAAGAAAAAATCTCAATTTGGAAATATAGGGAAAATAAAAATTAAGCAAGGCATGAAATGACGTACTCCGGGGTCCAGATGCATTAACCACAAAGAGACTTTGACGACTAGACTGTCCTTCGGAAGCCTTTGAGAGACTGAGCCTACTGCATCCTCTTCAAAAGTATTCTCCTTTTGAGGTGGTCTGAACCATGAACAATGCCCAAGAAATGAGATTCCCCAAGCCGCAAATTGTTGCAACTGATTGTTATCAGAACTTTGTGCGATATGAAAGATCTCCCTTACTAATGATGTCAATTCAGGCTCAAAGAATGGGTTTGAAAGTAACGGACCCCTGATACGAGAAGATTCCAGCTGATAACCAAACATGACAAAAGAAAGGCGGTCAGTTGAGTAATATGTTTCTTGCTTCTTCCTCTAAACTGCTAGGAGACACTGAGATACGCATGTCAGACTATAGAGTAAACAATACGTGCTCCACACATGCTAATCCAACCATAAAGTTAGCCTCCTCCTTTTTCATACTTAATCAGTTAATCTTCCATCACTAATATGCACCAATAACAACATTAATTCCCAAGTCTCTTATCTCCCATCTACTTGCTTCTGACCACGTACATTTACCATGTCTATATTTAGCTAGTAGCAAGAAGCCAAAAGAATTTGTTTACCATAATTTGAGAAAACTGTAAAAACTACGTATATTTTGGCTACAAGAATCTATATACAAGAGTTTATAATCACCTTCTGATCAAATGAGATGCCTGCTTGCAAATAAGGGGCATATTGAGCCAGTAATCCAATATCTGCCCCTAATGCAGAGACTATTCCAAGTATCGCTCCCAGATGGACATATGGTGGGTGAGGACTAGAATAACTTTTCCTGAGCAATGATAGTATTTCTTTAATATTATCAACCTTTAAGGAGTGCACCCCTCCATTCATGATGGTGGACAAAAGGTTTCCAGCTCCAACACAAGATACCATCAACAAGCTCTGGTTGAAGGTGCCAGAATTTTTCAACAGATAATAGCTCAGAGATCAACTCAACAAAATGACTCACCAGCTGCTCTATCTCGCTATCATCAATCAGTTCTACTCGTTGGCAGAAAGCCACTACAATAGGAAGAGCAAGACAAGAACCAACAGATAATACCATCTCACGTCTTTCAAAGATCATATCTTTCTGTAATGAAGGATTTAAGTCTGGAATACAAGAAAAAATCCATTCCTTTATGTTATATAACAGCATCATTAGCTCCAGCTCTATATAATGCACTAACAGAACTTCCCAAACCCAAGATAAGTCCAGCAACGCCCCATATGTCTTCCTCCAAATCATCATCATTCTGATGCACCAACTCAACTGAGATATTGGATCACATTCATCCATTACAAATGGAACACATGCAGCTAGCTGTTGTAGTATATCAGCAGAAGATTGTGCGAACTGACATAGACTCCTGGCTAACACCCAATGATATTCCTTAATAATTCTACTTCTGTCTCTTGTGTTCCTTCTCCAACTGAGGATTACATTCAGAATCAACCCTCGTAAGAAGATCTTGACAAGAAAAACAATCCAACTCCACAAGCTCCTTTACAAGGGTGTTTTTGCTAATTGATAAAACCTGAAAAAGACCATAATGTTAATGTATTACAGCAGCTTCCAACAAAATTTACCCTGCTAAAGAGGTCAAGAATTTGCATTTGGCTTTTGTGTCTTAAGAAAATGACTTGGTCACAATCTCATAAGTAAAGAACTCTCAAAACTATCAACTCCAATTACCTTTTGTTTTTCAAGTTGTATTAGTTTAAATCTTCATCCGGACTTCTGGACATGCTAAACGACTAACTTAGGCCATTCAGTATACAGATCTTTTATTTTTAGGATAAAATTTACATTCCAAGTATAGAGGAATCCTACCACAAAGTTCAAATTATTCACATTTTCCCAAGCAGATATCTATTTTACTTTCCCACCTTAATACTTTGTACTTTGGAGGATCTGGAGTAAATATGATCTGTTCCCCTTTTCCGGAAGAACTATTTTTCCAATGGGTTAGTGAAAAGGAAAAAAGCATCACATATATCCTTCGCACAAATGGGCTAATCAGTAAATTCTCTAGTTAATTAGTCATCAACCCGTTATTTAATAATACATATAAGTTATCAAGCCTAACCGCAGAGGCTCAAAAAAGACTTAGACATGCCCGACTGGACACTGCAATTGCTTCTGAAACACAAAGTGTAGCAATGATATGGATGAAGACAAGACTTTATTCCCATCAGGCAGTATCAGCTTCGTATTATGCAAGTGCATAATCATACCTCAAGAAGGGCCTTGATGTTTTCATACTTTTGTTTGCAGTCAGTCACATGAAGACAACTTGATACCAATCCAAGAGAAATTGCAGCAGACCACTGTCGACACTCATTTTCATATTGAAACAACCAATCCAACAGAAACTTCGAAGCAGAAGACTTAACAGTGTGTACAGACTGGGGAAGTGCCTGAAAAAAACATGTGAGAAAAAGAAAAAATTGAAAAAGCACGTACCTTAAGATCACAATCAAGCCACAAAAGAGATTAAAAGCAATCTAAGATGTCAAAACTTTAGAAATCACTAGAACAAGAAGAGAGGAAGTTGCCTCTCAATTTTTGAACCATCAAATGAAGCCCTTGAATTTGGAAAATTCCTATTAATCCATCAAAGTCTCACACCACCACAAAAACAGCTAGTTCCAAAGCTAACAAATACATCGATACTATACAACAAGATCAAGTGACTACCAAGACCCATACCAAGAATCAGGATAACTCCAGTATGCAAATTTACAAAGAAAATGAAACAAGACGCCTTCCTAATATGTAATCAGTGGATATTTTCCATCCATACTTATGACAGGTATAAAGAAGCATGAACAGTCAACATGTCCAAGACAATGTCTGCATATCCTCTGTACCCCCATTGGTTCCATTTCCAGCAGCCCTAACACTAATATATTTACTTTATGTTGGACTTCAAAGGATTCAGTGAGTTTATAGATGGCATAATAATATTACAAAATGGAAGATCAATTGGTTTACAAAAAAACAGCATAAAACATCCATAACCTTGACAAAACTCTGCAGCACAAAGAAATATTGTTTTCTAGAAGTCCATTCCATTAAACTTGGTAAGCTATCCATTCTAATTACTTGATTAAGTACAGAAAGTAAAAAGAGACCTCCTTCTATCCTTCAATTACTAGTGTCTCTCAATATGTTTACAAAGTATGGCTGCCCAATTGCAATCAGCACAAAGAAGTGCAAACAATACCAACAAATGCATTAATCCCGCAAATAACACTGAAACATTCAAGTCATTATTTCAGAGAGAGAGAGAGAGATTATGTACCGAACAAAGAGCACCAATAGCGAGAGCAAAATTTTCCGCAGAGCTAGGGATACATTCATCTGAGATCCGCCTCACAATCTGCATGAGAATTAAACGTAGGAAGTACTAAATGCTTGATTTCAAAATTGAGCAAATGGAGTCTTCTAAAAGTTGCATAGCCATGACAAATTCTTAGCCAACCTTCAGAATGTTATTTGCAGCTTTAGAAGTTCTATCCAACACAGTTGAATGAGCCTTAGCATCAAGTAACATCAACTGAACTTTCATCCACCTTTGCATGAAGGATTTCCATGATTGCAATGTGATAAGGGCAACCAAAATATTTCTTGAGAGCTGAAGAGAGGAAGCTATTTCTAGCAGTGCATTCTCAAATTTAGCATTTACTTCTTCCAAATCCTGTAAATCGATACACATGTAAAATTGTCGGTACATGTGTTGTAAAAGAGTTCAAATTTTAAGAATGGCTGACATTGTCTTACTTTTAACATTCCCCTGTTTATCATATCCAGAGGAGCAAAAGAAAGGCAAAACAAAGCTGCACCAGGTAATTCCCTTACCCTGCTCTTGCTTCCTGCAGATGAAATATACGATGTCAAGATGCACATATCCCTCAACCATATCAAGAAAGCATATATCTTCAACATTATCTTGCCAAAATTTACAAGAAATTAGACAATATAAAAGTTCCCAGCCATATTCTGTTTTTTCATATATTCCTGTGCTTCCAAAATGCTGGGCATCATTAGCTATATCAGTGTGGTTGTCAAAATTAGGAAGTGGTCAAGAAACTCAATGACAAAAGATTTACATTGGAAGCCAATAAAAACAGCAACAAAAGCAGGCTGAAATAGAAGCCACCATTTCCACTAGTCCAGTAGTAAAGTAAAAAAAAAAAAATAGAGGAGGATTGCATACCAGTAGGAAAGACAACCTGCGGAAAAACATCTAGCAACTTCTCAACGTTGCTTTTGGAGACTCTTTGCTCATTTACATATCTTCTCCGATTCCTGGAAAAACAGAAGTCACAAATTTAATTGTTTTTAGCGCTTCACAAACTTTTACAGAGAACGTGCAATGATGATAGTGGACATGTTTCTTTACATGTACTCGTGATTGATAATTCTAGATTCAAATCCTTCTACAGCTCTTAATACTTCAGGATCAGTCTCTGAAAAAAGAAACTCCAGGTTCACATCCCTAAAATCTGGAATGCTTCTAAAAATATGCACCACCTGAGGGAAAATGCCATATTCAGACAATGTCCAAGCTTGTACGAACTACATTTGTACTTTTGGTAGAACACTTTTTTGAAATATCAGTTTAATAAAAAAAGACGACTAAGAGGTATCCAGACAGTCATAGAATCAACCTCATAATGTGTTAGTGCTATAAATGCAGTTGCTCGAGCTTTTGCCCACAAAGAACCCTGACCATGATTTCTGGAGGTTCCAACTACCCACAAAATTTTTAAAATCTCTGAAGCAGGTTCAGGGTATGCTTCAGCATCCATTGCTCCCATCTCAAAAGAAGGCATAGACTGGCAAGAAGAAAAGAATGCAAAAATTTGTAAGCCATGTAAAGGAATCAAGCATTTTCAAAACAGCAATGTTTTTCTATCCAAAGATTTTGCACCAGATCCATTTGGAAATGAGATGGAGGCCAGAGAAATTCTGTTTCATTCTGACTTTTTTTTCCCTTTCTTTGTTTATTCTCTCCACCTACCACCACCACCGACCTCTTATTCTCTTCCTTTCCCTCTGCCATTCCTGCTCACGGCTGTAGCTTTCCTTTCTAACACACCCCTGTAACCCACATCCTCTTTGCCAGCACATCGCCACAACTACACCACCACCACCACCACACCCCCAGTCATGATAAACAGCATAGCAATTTGCCTCCAAGAAAAAAAAGAAAAATAAGAAAGACACATCACATAATACTCCAGGGAAGTAAAACACTTCAAGAGGAGAGAGAGAGAGAGGGCTACTACAGCCCATCTCTCACATCTCAAATCCACCCTCCTGCCACTAGCCCAGCAACCATTTTCAGTCTCCAATCACAATCAAACCAACCTCACACAGCGTTTTAAGTTGCTTTTAGTTTCATCACTGAACAAAAATTAAAACAAAGAAAAAAATTCCGTGAACCATAATATTTTGTTTAAGATATATTGAACAATCTAATTGTATTTTATCCCCAAACTTGATAAAAGAAAGGAGAGAGAGAAAAACACAGATGGAAGGGTGAAGGGTTGAAAAAGAGTTGTTGCTCAAATGGAGAAAAGAAACAAAGTAAATTGAGGAAAGAGGAGAGGGAGATGGGAGGTGGGAGGGATCAAACAGAAAAAACTCCTGGAGGGAGTTGACCAGGGGACGTTAAGAGACTCTGAAGGAGAGTGAGAATGAAGGGGATGGAACAAAACTTGGTAGTTATCCCATGAGGTCATGCCACGTGTCTGGAAGGCATTCGGGAAGAAAAATCATCTTGCTTTACAAAATTCCCACTTGATTCAAGAATATAATGAACAAGACAAGTACGCAATAACAATTGAATAGAGCATAAGGAAAAGAAAATTTCTACAAATGTAGACCATAAATAATATTGAAAGGAGTACATTTCTAAGCACAAGCAGTATTTCACACGTAATTCTCTACCTTTGGACATCTGTGCTTTGCACAACTCAAAGACAAATCTTTTACCCAATGTCATAGCTACATGTAGGAAAACATTCGAACAGCAAGTTATTACAGGATAAGGGACACTTGTGGGGCTTCTGCTCACCTATAAGCAACGACAGCATTTGATGTGTACCTCAAGACATGCTTTGCAATCACATCCCAAGCAGTATAAAAATCTAGACCAAGTATATGCACAAAGTCAGCAACCGTCAATGTTCTTAAAGGTGCACACCAACATTACAGGGCAATAGTTCTTCCACTTGACCTTAATAATCACATATTTAAAATTGCTGAAACCAACCCTCTACTTGTATATCAACTCGCAAGGAGTAAAGGAATTGCTCATTGCTGGGCCTTTCAGAAGAAATCAAGGTTGAGAAGAAACATCTGACACAACTACCTCAAATAGAAGCGAAATGCCTATGATAATATTTAAGCAAATCCAATAAAATCACATAATTCCATGAGGGGAAGAACAGATGATCACCAAAGCAAAATGGTTTAGATTGGGAAGTTCGCAGTCCCAAATCCTGATAGAAAAAATTTGACAAATAGTTACATGGGACAGATATCTTTATTCAAGAGCAATATCCAAATCGAGACATTGTTTGGAGCAACAACAAGAATCAAACAGAACATAACATTTAAGAAGGGATTTTCAATAAATATCTGACTCAAAGCATCAGCTCAGCAGATAGCCAAAATTATATTCGCATAACTCATTCTATGTCTCACAAATCATCGTTATGGCGAAAGAATAAATGATGAAGAAATCTTATTCACACTTCTAAGTAGTCAAGGCAATAGATAGGATATAACTGGTAGAGCTACTCATATTTTCTCTTACAAAAGAATCAGAAGAGCATAATATTACCAATGACATCCGCTTCACAAAGATGTGCAAGACTCTGGAATCCAAGAGACTGAACAAGAGGATCTTCATTTTCAATGCAAGCCTATTGATCAAAACACAGACATTAAAGAGATTGGAGAAACATGCTTGACAAAGGACAGCAAAGAGGGCCAGCATATTGTACCTCCACAGACAAAATGAGGTCCACACCCCTATCAGGATCTTTTCTGCAAACATCTCGCACAGAAGCAGCCATACTAATACAGACGTCTTTCTTTGTTGCCATTTCAACAAATTTTTGTGGTCCTAGCACTCCCTATGCCAAAAAGACAGAAAACAAGAAGACATATTAAATATGTCCAAATGGAGGTAAAATCCAGACACTAAACCCAAAATGCACCACAAATGGAATAGGGATCTGAAAATTAAAGTTCCCAGGAGTTTGCAAGTATCATTTCCATTGTTTCTCTTTTTTTTCTTAGTAATAGATAACAACATTTCACCACAAGTGCAGTGGTCAAGAATCAAAACATGTGAACTGGAATCTAAAACATCCCATAAACCAGAAACATAATCAAAATACAGAGCATAGCCATCTATACAGACCAGTCAATACTTGGAATTGCACCTTACTAAAAGTCTATATATAACTTCTCCCATTATGGCCGTACCTCCTAGCTCACAATATACGCTACATCTGAATGGTGTCCATCTTTCTCAGTGTAATCCTATGTCCAGTTTGGAGCAAAAATTCAGGCTTATTAATAGTAATTGTCCTGATGCAACTTTTACTGAATGCATCATAATCTATCTTCACCAAAGAGAAACAGAGAGAAGAATAAAAAATGTCAGAAGAGCAGGACGACAATGGTTTTACCAAGAATGAAAGACAAGCTGCAACTTCAAAGACTTCTAATTTAGAAGCTTATAGTTAAGACTCCTTGCGAGTATGTGGGTGAGATTTAAACCTTACGAGCAGCTGAGTTATGATATTTTCCTCAACTTACACAGCTTTTTAGTATATTCTTCACTGCAATGGTGGAATCAAAATTAATTTTTTCTAAACAAATGAGGAAGCCAAATCATAGGTATAATGATCACGATTTATGCGCAAAAGCTTGACAATAATTGTTATAAACAAGACATAGATGATGGACAGTGCTTTGCATTTCTTCAAAAATAAAGTAAATACTTCAAATTTAGAAACAATGATGCCAGGTGACAGATAGGACAACTGAAATAATTACCTGTAGATTCCCAAAGACACGGTCATTAATCTCCCAGGTCTTACATATCAACCGAGTAGCAGTAGCATATAAAACTCTACAAAATAAGCAGATCTTATGAATAATAAAAATGCTAAGAAAACAAGCAGATCTGATTAATACCCACATATCAGAAGAATAATGCACCAAATAACAGGTACAGAGGGTAAAGAGTACATAAAATAAGTCCAACTGACAAATACTTTCACATTATGTAACTGAAACATCAGGTGGCTTTCTCTGTAAGTTCCAAAGTAAGAGTATAAAGAATGGCAATCAACACTGCAATTCCCCAGATATAATGTCCAGCACGGATAGTGCATGATTGAGAAACACAAAAGAACACATATGAGCATACGGTTTTGCATCCTTATGAAGCATTGGCGTTACAGTCTGAACTATCAGCGGTAGCATTGCGGAATGTGAAGCAAGTGAAGGAAGCTTGGCAAGTAGTTTCAGCTGCAGTTTTAATTTAGAAGATTTTATTAGATTACCAGGAAACTAAAAACACAATAAAAAAAACATGAACCCTTACAGAACATAATAAACCACTCATCTCACAGGGAAGTATGAGGAAGCATCAGAAGGCATGATTATGTGCTGTGAAAGTCAATCGAAACTCACCAACATGCTGTGGAAATCAATATCCTTATCTTTGGTAGAAAATGCATGAATGCAAAACAGAATGACTAGCATCAGTGACACTCCAAGCTCAGGATTCATATTGCCAGTAACAGCCAAGAGATCAACTGAACAGTTCCCCAATTTCTGATGCATAAGAAGTACACTAGCAATAGCACCAAGGAAGAAGGAAGTATCTGTCAGCACAAAAAATTTTAGCAGGTTTAGACGTGAAATCATGTGCAAGATGAAAAACTTGTATGAATGAAAAACAAGTAGCTACCTGAAATAAATATCTGCTGAAACATAGAAAGAGGTTGAATGGACTTCTTTTTTTCCCGATTTGCAAAGAATAGTCCCGCAGCAAAGAGGTGCAAGATTTGGGTGTATCATTTCCCTCGTCAATATAGGATTCAGTAGAAGAAACTTTGAGATAAAAAGCACAAGATAATGAAGATGGATCCTGAAAGGACAGGTCCAATTAGCGACAAGTTACATCGTTTAAAAGGTACGCAACTAGATTGCATACACAAATGCCTAATGTTCCACCATAGCTTAGCATAAACTTCACCAACAACTACTACTGGAAGAATGCAGGCAAAACAAGTACTTGATGACGAATTCAGGTAAACAAATTGAAACAGCTAGAACTCGGATTTTAACAAACAGAGCATGATCTCATGCAGGAACCGTGTTGAGTCAAACACAATATAATTCTAATCAAATGATAAAGTAGCCAAAGGAACAGAAGCAAAGCAGATATTGCACTAGAAATAAGAAAATAGTTCTCTCGAATCTCCCTTGCCCACTTTTCTATGCATTCATTTGAAAGGGTTTGGTTATACAAAAAATAAACTAATGAGGTCAAAGAGATGAAATAATGATGAGCTTCACAGAAATACCATAGAAACAAACCTGAAACCATAAATGATGGAGAAACCTATAAATAATGCATCCAGGTGTGCTAATAGAGGGAAATTTCCTCTCAGTTGCCCTGCCACTCCTTGTTGAAACCAACAAATCTATGAAGATATTCTCCAAAGAAGAAATTACAGCAACTGCTACTTTCTTAACAACTATACTTGGTGATGACATGATGTTAATGACTGGAAAAATGAACAAAAGCTCCTCGTTTAAGTTGCTTGCAGCTCTAGTGACATTGTACACTGCAAATTAAATAGATCATGTACTTCATTATCTGAGTAAAGCTGAGAAACAAAAAAATGCAGAAACGCAATTAGAAAGTAGTTGAAGAGAATATGCTCAGGCAATAACAAAATCAGCACAAAGGAATATAGATAACTATCACAAGCTCGAGTCTTGTTAACTTTTTCTATATTTTATTTGTATGTAGCCACATAATTTCTTAATTGTAGGTTTCCAGAACAAAACTCCAAAACAGTAACAACATGGCCATAAACTATTAAGGCACAGACACGTAGATGTAAGAGGGGGAAGTAATTAATAGATTTGTCAGATGGACTTGCATACAAATGAAATATATTCATTGAATGCAACCACAAAGGAAAAGCTGTAGGGAAGAACCCTAGTGCACCTAAATGGAAAAAGTTCAATAATAACGAGGTAGACTACCAAAAGATTTACTAATATCAATTGCCAAGATGAAAAAGTGAAATATATATATACACACACACATATACATACATACATACATATATATAACAAGATTACAGATTGTCAGATTCTCTTAATTTTTCTAGACCTCTAAGGGAAGACAAAAAAGAGAAATACTTCAATGCAAAGACTACTAAATTCTAAGACAATTACATTCATTCAAGCTAGAACATAAGAACGTGTGTATCCATAGGAGATTTATAGCTAAAGAAAACTAATTCTTAAGATGATCGTGAGAAAGATATGATGAGACCTACTAAGATAATCAAGGCATAATTAACAAGCATACCATTTTCCTGTTTCCACTCTAAGAGAAAGCAGCACCTTCAGTATAGCAATATGTTCTTGCTCCAGCTCAGACTGAATGAGAGGTATAATTAAGGATAATATTACTGATGAAAAATCAGGCAAATAACTCAAGCCTAAGTCTTTCTGGACAGCCAACAAATGCCTTGACATTTCCGAGATGTTCTCAACTCCATGTAAGTGCATGCGAAGATCTTTATGCAGTGAAAAGATGGCCTCAACCAGTTCCAGACCACATAATTGTACTTCGTGTACCAGCTAAAATCAATCAAATCAGTCAGAACCAAAATGACAAATCAAATAGAAGCCACCCACAGGGTGCTTGTGCCGAGTGATAAAATACAACTAGATGCAATAAGAATCTGTTTAATAAGACAGTTAGAATATTAATAGAAGTACCAATCTCATTCCCACCAGCTGCCTCAGAACAACCACATAGGCATCCACGGTGCATTCAAGAAGCTGGAGAAGGACAGCAAGGTCCTGCAGATTAAACGAGAGAAATTAGCTGAGAATGAAGTTAGATAAAAATACTTCGTTCATTGTGTCAAGAAAAAAAATTAGTCAATACAGAAACTTGAAACAAATTCATTTACTTGTGCATCTCGACGTGGAAAAAATCTGAGACATCCCATCAACAGCTTAATAACCGGAATGGCCTCGGGAGGGAAGGAACAACTGAGAGATGTGATGGACGACACTAAGCTCGTTGCAAAACAACGGAAAGAAGCCACAACCGGTACTTGAATAAATGAGTAATTTAACAAAGGCCTCAAGAAATCACAAACTTTAGTAATCCCCAAATGCTTATTTTTCACCATGAAATTACCAACTTGTTGCACGAGCTCACATTGAACTTCAACTCGACAAGAGAGAATCTGCAACCAGCAGCTAAAACATAAAAAATCAAATTATCTGATAAAATAAAAAACTCAGTTACTGCAAAGTCATTGTTACCTTGACGAACGGATGGGTTTCGGGTGATTGAAACCGAAATGAAGAAGGATTTTTCTGAAACCCACAACTAACGAGAAATCCTAGGGCTTTAACGAAGAGATTAACGAAACGAGGACCGGAAGCTTCAAGGCCGGACTGAAGCTCCAACAATCCGCGGAGAGGTCCATTTTAGAGTCTTTCACGAGGCGGCATACTTCCCGGACCGATTGGTCAACTACGCCGACGAAGGTGGAGTGGAGGCAGTAAGTAATGGCTTCTCTTCCCGGGTCGGAATCCGGGACTAGGTGAGGAGGAGCGTTTCGGAGCTTCTCAAAGATTGAGATTACTGCAAATTTTTGTAAGCAAGGTTGGGGGACACGTGTTCTCTCCAGTAGAGGATTATAGGCGTCCATTATTGGTATGGACTACTGCCGAGAGGAAGTAAAGAAACAAAGAACATCCAGAGTGAGAGTGGAGAGGTGGAGAGCGGAGTGGGAGGATGCCTAGACTGGGGCTTACCGACGAGAAAGGTGAAGAAAACTGGAGGTTAGAAGCAAGGGATGCGGAGGTTTAACGCTGTCGACCCGACATCGTTGTCGGTCTCCTCGAACGCAGAAAGCCACGTTTAAGTGATCTCGTAAGAAGCAGCACCGCTTTTCTGAATGTTATTATATTGCCAAAAATACCCTTTATTTGGAAGGAATTCCACTATTCAGTGATGTTATTATTCTACATTTATTTTAGGCCTCTTACTACTATTATTATTTTTACGTTTTGATGTAAAAATCGTATGTGGATAGAGTATTATTTGAAATAATTACTATAGCACTTTTTGTGATGTAATATATGTGAAATAAAAAAAATTTGAAAATATAAAAAATTTGATTGAAAATGTGTTTATGATACAAGTGAAATATTATTTTGAATAATTTAGCAATCCAAATGCTAATGGATAAGGCACACTCTATTTGTACACATATATTTAAGGAAAAATGAAAATAAAATAATACGTAATAACAAATCAATCACAACAAAGGAATTAATTACAGAATAGTGAAATTTTCTATTTCTTTATTGAAGTTGGTAGGAAGACTTAGTATAAATATCTATACAATATATAAAAAAACAGATTCACTGTACAGTTTAAATACAAAGTATCACTTTTTGAAATTCCTCACATACCTTTAATTACAACGGGAAAATTGTCTTGATTTACTCCATCCATAATCAACAGGTAATTGTTTGAATGATTGTTATCACTCTATCCCTTTAATGTTTGACGTTAATATCGATTTCCCTTTTAATATTATTTTTTAATCATTTTACTTTCAAGATTAACGATCAAACTTAAAGAAATTTGTTAATTCAAGTGAAAAAACATGTTTAACTCTTAAATTTATTATCACTTTATCATCGTAAACTATGTTCTTATTATCAGTTCTCTTAGAGTTAATTTTTAGACAACTTATTTCGCAATTAAACCAACTTAGCAAGTTAAAAATTAATTTTTAGGCAATTTATTCCACTATTAAACCAACTTAACATTTTTTAGAAGAAAGTGCATTCCTCTTTGTACAATAAAAATAATAAAAAATTTAGAGAGGTTGTTATCATTTTAGTATCAAGGAAAATAAATAAAAATATTAATTTCTTTTTTCTTTGTAATCTTATTAATATTGAAAAAAATTAGAAAGACGAGGGAAAGAGAGAGATAGAAAGGGAAAGCTCGATTATTTTTAAAAAAATACAAATAAGAAAATTCAATATTTTTATTATTTTAAAATTATTTTATTTTTATTTTTATGTTTACCACTCAATTACAATCCTAAATGAACCAAACTTAAGCCAATATAGAAAATATTTCTTTGAGCAATCTTGAACTTGTTGAAACCCTCAATCGTGAAATCCAATTTATAAGATTTTGTATTTATGTAGAATTTGTCTAATAAGAGCAATTTAGTCCTTTTATTATTATATTATTATGTGAGAGTATGGTTGTATGATATTCAATATGCATTTGCGTCACTTGCAAGGCAAATTAATTCAAATATTGTAATGTCAGCATTAGGTGCAAATTGGTCCATTTATGTTATATTATTGAGGATAAGGTTACATAATTATGAGAATGGTTGTATAATATTCAATATGCATTTGTGTCACTTGCAAGGCAAATTAATTCAAATATTGTAATGTAGCATTAGGTGCAAATTGGTCCATTTATGTTATATTATTGAGGATAAGGTTACATAATTATGAGAGTATAAATTTATATTATTTGTAATAATAAATTAGTTTAAAATTCATATTATGTTATATTTCATCATCTTATTTCTTAGTTATTTCGAGATAACTAATACCACCTCTCGAGATGATACATGATAATTAATGCAATATTACGTTATCCCACGAACCAAACAGACTTAAATTTAACTATATATATATATAAACCCTACTTTAACGGAAAAAATGCATATATTAGTACTTCAAACTACGCGACTTCAATATGCAGCTATTCCTTTCCCCCTCCCCCCCAACCCCTCGTCTCTCCGTTCTGGCGTCGGAATCAGGATGACGTCACTCCAGAACTCAACGACGACACTGTTCGCAGTATGGCAGTTGCAGCCGTATTCTCGGATTTTGTAAGCATAATCCTCTCTCCCTTTTTGTGTGTATGTTTGATTCGGTACAGTACATAGTAGTGCTTCAGGATATAACGTTTTCAATTCCCATGCCGCTTCTAATTATTGGATATGCTTGATTAGAAGACAGTCCATAAATAAATCTCTTGCGCTTATGAAGCTGAGAAGTTGCTGGATGATTTGACTTTGAGATGTTTACCACGTGCATACTTTTTTTAGGGTGGAAAAATAAGTTCACTTGATTTTCATCGGACAAGTGATTTATTGGTTACAGCGAGCGAGGATGATTCGGTCAGACTGTATGACATTGCCAATGGCAAGTAAGTCTCTCTTTAAAAAACAAGCCGTGCAACTTTTCCTGGTTTTTCAAAATTTGGAGTATTAACATAGAATATTCACTCTGAATTACGCAAAACCAAGATTTTACCTGAATGATTAGTTATCTTTACTGCCACTATAGTTCATTTACTTCTTGCCTTACAGGTATGAAAAAGTTTTTTATGCAGTCCTTAGCAGACAGGAAGGAGTTCCTACTCTGATGGTTTTGTGTTGAACTTTTAGGTTGTTGAAGACCACCTACCATAAGAAACACGGTGCTGAGAGCATATGCTTCACCCATCACTCAAACTCTGTTATATGTTCATCAAGATACAACTTGGATTCCAGAGGTAATTTTATTTTGTTCTGCTTCCAGAGATGTATCAGACGTAGTTGTATGGAACATATCTTTGACTAACTTGTTACCAGAATCTCTGCGCTACCTATCCATGTATGACAATCGCTGCCTTCGGTACTTTAAGGGACATGAGAAAAGGTATGGCTATGCAGCTTCCCACTGTAAACATGATAGTGTAACATCCCATTTATGCATGCGACATTTGATTTGAAAAGATGTTTGTTAACATGACCACGGTATAGATGTATACTACATTTTATCCCTAGGAAAACGGAATAGGTAGTACTTTTTCCCTAGTATTTACTTTACCATTCTTAATGTACCCATAGTGGAAATAATGATTGTACCCCTTGGTCCTGTTCTATTTGTCATGCTAAATCTGCATATGGATTGAGAAGACGTTTGAACTCAAACTTTGTTGGTGCTTTTGAATTTTAAATGTTGAAATGGTTTTGTATAGCATTTAATTTGATACATAAATGGATCGTTTGGAGTAGCAGTAGAGCTTTTAGTCAAAGTACTTATTAAGTGCTTAATCATTTTGTTTGGGTGCATACTTGAATAAGTACTTTTGCACTTCATAATGTGCAATTTCGAATTTCCAAAACATATTTATCTCTTCATTTAATTCAAAATTTATAATAAAATTGTTAAAATTAATTATCATTTTTTGGAAAAAAAGTTGCCATACAAGCACCAAATTTGAGTTTGTGCTAAAAGTGCTTTAATATCCAAAAGCTTTACTTCAAAATTCAAGGAATAGTGCTCGCCAAACACATTAAAAGTGCTTTTATCCTCCAAAAGCACTTTTTTTTTGCAAAATTACTACAACCCTAAAAGGGCCCTACTTTAATGCTTATTTTTAGAGTTTGTATCATATGTAATATAGAGATGTTGGTCTTTTTTTTAAAAAAAAAATTCCTTTCCAGACCAGGAGGAATGATTTGGTACTCAAAAATCAAAATCATGACTAATAGGATGGGACAGAGCTAGTAACTTTTGAAAGCAGATATAATGAAACAATTATAGTCTAACCTCAATGATTGGTGATCTAGCTTACGTTTGGCGAGGTAATTGTTAGATAGATTGTAAATATGCATTCTATGTTAACTTGTTACTTTTCTTTGCAAGTACTTTGTGTATCATCGAATTATTGTTTGCTACTTTGGATGTGTATGCTGTATGGCAAAATATGTTGAAAGTCTAAAATCTTCATTACTTTTAAAGTTCTTTTATGTTCTTCAACTTTTTCAGTGAAGTTTATAATTTACGTTCACTTACTTCCTTTTTTTACTTCTTCTGGATTCAACTCCAGTAACAATAGTGTTAATTTTTGTGTCAATCTTTTGCTTGGACTTGGCAACAGGGTTGTGTCACTGTGCATGTCTCCTATTAATGACAGCTTTATGTCTGGTTCTCTTGATCACACTGTCCGAATATGGGATCTCCGAGTAAATGCATGCCAGGTTAGTCTGGGTAAATTTTTATCCCTATTTTCCTTGTGATTATGAGCGCTTCTCAACCTTTAAGTTCATTTTCTGTACTTTGTATCCTTAAATTTCTCTAATTAAGACAAAAAAATTTCTTTGAGCCTTATCTGAAAATAAGCATTGGAATTGAGCATTTTCTATTAAAACTGAAATGCATAAACAAGCTACATGAATAGAATATATTCCTCTAAATGTGTAGGCCCTGGCCCTGGCGAGTGCCTGAGCCATTTTAAAATTACCATCATGTTTTCTTTGCGCTTCCAGATAAAAACATGACTGGGATAAGAGCTCACTCTTGTAGCTTTCAGGGAATATTACGTCTACGTGGTAGGCCGACTGTTGCATATGATCAACAAGGTCTTGTCTTTGCAGTATCAATGGAAGGGGGTGCAATCAAATTGTTTGATTCTAGATCATACGACAAGGTTGTGTGTTCAAAATGTTGTCTTCCTTAGTTATATAAAGGAAAAACAAGCATTCACTTTCTTTTGTACGCATGATCTCGTGAAATCAACTATCCTGTGAAAAATGCAGGGACCATTTGATACTTTCCTTGTTGGTGGAGATACAGCTGAAGTCTGTGATATTAAGTTCAGTAATGATGGTAAATCAATGCTGTTGGCTACTAAAAGTAACAACATATATGTTCTTGACGCATATGGAGGCGAGAAGGTCAGATTTCTTGCTTTTCTTTCTCTATTTTTTAATAGTATTGTATGCATCACTTTTGGATTTTCTTGCTTTCCTTGTTTCCTGGGGTACTGGTATGAGGTTTTCACCTTTTCTTTTTCCTCAACTGAAACATTATGCTTTTTCTACTTCAGCGTTGTGGCTTTAGTCTGGATCCTTCCCCCAATACAGCTATAGAGGCTACATTTACACCAGATGGCCAATATTTGGTTTCAGGTATAGACATTTGGTCGTATTCTGTTTGCTTAAGGAAATATAATACTTTTCAATTCTTCATGTTTTTTCCTTCTATGATGCTCCTTCTGCTCTATTATTTTTCATCTGATACAAGATTTTCAAATGCTTAAGCTTAATCTTAATTTGGTTGTGATTGATTTAGTGTCTTCCTGAGTGGTTCGTGCAATTGACAAGTTCTTCCTTAACACATCTTCTTAACAAAAGAGAAGGAATATAACTACTTTAGTGATGTTAGACGTTTCATCTGAGCCAGTCTAGTGGTTGTAACTGGGATGATAGACTGGTTTTCTGTTTATCAGGATGTTGTGCCTGAACAATTAGAAATACTGTTTTTCTCTTCAAATAAGTGAATACACTTCAAACAGGAGTATCACACTCGTCTATGGGAAGTGGTTTGCAACTTTGTGAACTGTACGTCTTCAGTGAAGTGTCTTAAGTTCATCTGAAGTGGTTAAAGATGCCAAACATTGCTGTTTATGTTCTATAATCTTGTAATGGGAACAACTTTTTTAACTATTCCAACATTATGCTGGGGTTTAGTAGTAGCTATGTGGCCATGTGACAATTTAGCTGGCTGTTGCCAGTTAAATTAATTCTAACACATCCTTGCGCAAAGATTCTGAAACTGTTTTATGTATCATTTGTGTGCATCATTTATTGCTACCTTTTGTAGTTGGTTTGATAAGAGTTCTTAGTCATACCTCGCATGATTAATAGCTTATTGATGTTTTTTTTTTTTGGTGGTGATCCACTATTTAACACTAGTGATATCCCTAGTTTTTTTTTTCTTTGGTGATCCACTACTTTTTTTTTTTAAACAATAGAACTGATATCACTACTCTGTTAAAGGTTCTGGAGATGGAACTCTCCATGCTTGGAGCATAAGAACAAGAAATAAGGTATGGCGATTCCTCCTTCCTCGTATATACTCGAGCAGACACCCCCAAATCTGCTGAGCTTTGATTCATGTATCTTGTTAGAGTTACAGTAAATGAGCGAGAATGACATTCTCATCCCTTGTCATGAAAGCATATCCGCTGAACATATTTTGACACGTACATCTTGTTTTTTCATGAGTTAGGGTGTGTTTGATAAAACTGAAGTCTGAAAACTGAAATCTGAAGTCTGAATCCATTGTTAAATTGAAATCACTTATTAAATCTGAAATAAGTGAATAGCTTATTAAATCACTTATTAAATTTGAAAAGCTTATTAAGTGAATAGCTTATTAAATTTGAAATCACTTATTAAATCCATTTTTAAATTTGAAATATGAAATTTAAGTTATTAAATTGTTAAGTATTAAATCTATTACATTTAAATGTATATCACATTCAATGATAACTGAATAGCTTATCACTTATTTTTGGAAGCTAATTTTGCATAGGAAATTCAATGTCACTTAATTAATTCGGATATTCAATTTTTTGTTATCAAATGAGTCTGATCATGTTAAGATCTGAATTCATTAAGTCTAAATGAGATTATTAAACAGAGCCTTAGTCGGGTTGATTTCTTTGTGGCCGGTTAAGGCTGCTTGACTTCCAATATCTTCCAGGATATATGTCTATGTTTTACAAAATTGAAGCTCCAGATCGAGTCTATTGTAAATGAGCAACAACGATTGTAAAGCACACAAGCAAATTCTGATCTCGTGTAAATTTATGATGAAGTCAGAGTTTCATTTGTGGTAACGGAAGGCTATAAGATGCATTTACCTATTTTGGCCTATAAATTGGGAAATATAAGAACTATCAGGAGAGAAAGCCGGCTTCTTGGCTATGTGGTAACCTAGGGAGTTGATAAAAAACTTGTAGTGGAAAAGAAGCGAGTTTGCTAACGGAAAATGATATTAACACTCTTCAAAAAAAATTTCAGGCACTCCTTAAACTTGGTCTAATGTAAAAGAAAGGAAGGGAAATGGTATTAACACTCTTTAAAAAATTTCACACACTTCTTAAACTTGATCTAATGTAAAGAAAGGAAGGGAAATGGTATTAACACTCTTTAAAAAATTTCAGACACTTATTAAACTTGATCTAATGTAAAAGGATGGGAAATGATATTAACACTTTTCAAAAAAAATCTCAGACGCTCCTTAAACTTGTTCTAATGCAAAAAGGGAAAGGGAAAGGCAAGGGGTGTATGAAATTTTTCATTTTTGATCTAATGCAAAGAAAGGAAGGAGTGTTTGAGGTTTCTCATTTTTGATCTAATGCAAAGAAAGGGAAGAAGTGTTTGAGATTTTTTGAGAAGTGCTAATATCATTTTCCTTTCTAACTTATGCTACAATTGAATTGCACTTCTTATGCTGCAATTAATCCTAAGTGCAGGTTGCCTGCTGGGATAATTACATAGGCGTTGCCTCATGCTTGAAGTGGGCTCCTCGTAGGGTCATGTTTGCTGCTGCATCTTCGGTTCTTACCTTTTGGATTCCTAATCCCGCAAAGCCAACCACTGAGCCTGGAAATACGCATGCCGAAGCAGGAAAACCGGAGCAAACTACATAACGAACCTGTATTTAGTCGTTTAAATTTTTTAAATATTCTTTTGTTTCATGCTTTTTTCTTGAAATGGGAGAATAGACGGATGGGTGATCTTATGTACTTTACTAGGGGGAAAAGCCCGTGTTACACGAGGAAGTTTAGTGCCTGTAATTAAATATGGTTAATAATTATTATTTAGTATTTTGTAGTATAAGAATCGAAGTATGACAATTTTATTATATAATATTAAATAGAAAAATCATAAGTTACATGCTGAGTCAAAAATATAATATACAATGAAACATAATGAGAGGAAAGATATATAACAATTAACATGCTAATTTAGAGGAAAAATTACCTCAAAAAAAGTACTAAAGCATTTTAATCCACTCAATTCAAGAAAATAATTAAAATTATTGAAGTACGTACTTTAGATTTGTAGCTAAATATTTTAAATAGATAGTTAAATCTATTGGTAAATCAAATGAAGTCAAAAAATTGCGTAAATGAAATTTAAAACAAAAAAGAAGTAGATGCAATTTGTAAATGGGAAAATTTATGATGATAAATTTATTTTAAACCACAAATAACAATTAATAAATGTGATCTCCTCTCTATCAAGCATGTCGGACATGGACAATTGAATTAAAAATATTAAAAAATTATCGCACATACAACCTGCAAGATTACAAATTTTTTACAAATAAAATATAGATTGGTTAAAGAAAATATACTTATTGAGATTTCTTACAACCAATAAGTAGATTTGTTAAAGAAAACATACCTATTGCAAAAGGGTGTTGCAAAACATGTCGGACATGGACAATTGAATTAAAAATATTAAAAAATTATCGCACATACAACCTGCAAGATTACAAATTTTTTACAAATAAAATATAGATTGGTTAAAGAAAATATACTTATTGAGATTTCTTACAACCAATAAGTAGATTTGTTAAAGAAAACATACCTATTGCAAAAGGGTGTTGCAAAATGGGGAAGAGAAGTAGCTAATGTAGCGACATCTGAATTCAATAGGTTGCATGGTTTTGGTGTAAACAAAGCTATAAATAAATTAAATGAATTTGAACAAATGGGCTTACTATGATAACAGTCTCTACTAATTAGCATTAATTGTGTTTTAATATCTATATATCATAAGTTTGCAAATAACTGAGAATACTTAGCATTAATTGTGTTTTAATATCTATATATCATAAGTTTGCAAATAACTGAGAAAAGTTTACGTAACTCCACTAAAACACAAGCTGAATTAGCCATTAATGTCAATCAGATATAATTCAGTTGTACCGAATGGTCAATCGGATATCCAACAATGTCACCTATCAAACTTGCCCATAACTTTAAATGTTTGAAAAAACATCTAAGTAATTGCAACAAAACCAAACTAGTCATAATGACCTATATTCAATGCTCCAATTACATTTCAAAAACTCACATATTTCCAAAATAAAAATAATCCCACCCTTGCATTTGAATTCACATTCTCAAAATAGCCCCACTTGCAGTTGAAATTCGAAGACCATCTTTACTTCAAAGGCAAAGAGAAATTCGAAGACCATTTTTACTTCAAAGACCATCTTTGCCTGTACCCTAAACTCATTCTTATACCGATTGAAATTCAAAGACCATTTTTGCCCTAAGTTCATTCTTATATGGTATAAGGATGTCCGGGTGCTGTTAGTATAGGATCAAACGTTGTGGGGCTTTCACCGCATCCTGAGAACTTGAGAAGAAGCTTAAAAGCGTATCCTTGCTCTATACAGTGGCACTTCACTTTTATATTGGCTCTTCAGTTTCACAATCAACGGAGAATATGGTACATAACTATCTTGAAAAGAGCTAAAGAATGATAACCCCCTCTAATCGAGGGGACGGATTCATGTGCCGAGCAGTTCCTGCCGGTGTTATTAAACAAATTGTCTTGAGAATTCTTTTGAACCAAAATGATTTAACAAATTTTTGTCTTGAGAAGTCTTCTGGCATGGGCGGCAATATTTGATGATAACTCCTCGCAATACCATCCACTGTAAAAGAAAAAAAGGTTATATTAAGGAAAAAGATACCAAAACAATGCCATAAAATTGAAGATATTGATCTTACCAATACAAGGAAAACCCTCAACAAACAAAGAGATTATGATGACGCAAATGGATATCTGAGATGGATGCCGGCAATAATACAACCAAATACGAATTGACACGGTACAATTAATAACATCACAGTACAATTACAAACATCTACATTATTATTTCCAGGAACCAACTTCCATGCTGCATACTGGCGCAGTGCTTAATTGGAATTTCTCCACCTATTTTCCAGCTTCCCTTCCACCTTGATCTCTTCCAGTAGGTTCCTGGGCTTTTGTCTGGATCCTCTCCCCTACTTCCTTAGTCTTCTGGCCCAGTTGCCCTGCCGCCTCCTGCATGCGCCTCCTGGCATCGTCCATCTGCTCCGTAGCCTTCTGCCTGAAGCAATTCAAAACCCAAGAAAGAGATGAGAGCCCCGTGAGACCGAAGGCTCCAGACGAGAGGAAGCCAGTGACGGCCAGGCCGAAGAGGACAACAGCAGGCACCAGAACCGGGCTGCAGATCACAAAGAGTGGGGTGGTGAGGGCAAGGCCGATCAAGGTCCCAACTAATGTGAGACCAGCGAGACCAAAGAGGGTGCCACCAACAGGGAGGAGAGTGACAACTGCCAGGACTTGAATTGCCGACGGGCCCCTCTGAGGAAAGAGGGTCTTGACGCCGCCTTCCCCATATCCCAGGTGCTGAGGGTGTACTTGAAGCTGTTGTGGCGGTGAACGGTCTCGATCAGCCATCGATTGCTCTGAATGATAAGATTGTTGAGCTTTTTTTAATGATGAGAAGAGGCGATGATGGATTACAGACTATAGAGTGGAGAAGCGGCTCGAGTAAGCAGTTGCTTTTAAAGAGAAGGGTGAGTGACATTAGGGGCAGGAGGGAAGAGTGGGGGAGTGCAACGTGTTGGGCTGCATGCATGACATTTAGTGAAAGGCTTTGCATGAGAAACAAGTTGCGGGGTTGGGTGTCTGGCACGGGGTTTTGAACGTTCTTGCCACCTATCCTTCCTTCATCTCTGTCGGTTTCCTTCTACCCTGCGGCAAAACTTCTCTGACTTCTCTTCTTATTCTCTCTCTCTCTCTCTCTTTGTTGTATCAGTACTTTTTAACGAATGAGTGCTAGCAGAGCATATTGGCTGGATTAATAATCAATTGGCCCATGATCACTCTGGTTTCTTATTTGCTATCTAGCTGTTATCAAGAACTTAAAAGACCAAACAAAAAAATAAAAAAATTGCTAGCTGGATATATGCTGTGATTTTTGCAGCTGGATCACTCGCTCAACGGGAGGGATTTAGATTGAATGGTAAGGTGAAAGAGATTATAAATAGGTGGTCCTAAATTCAAAACTTCTCACAAAAAAAAACTTAATAATAGAAATTATACAAATCTCTAAGGGTTTGTTTGGTTCACAGAGTGGATGAGATGGTATGACTCATCATCCATTTATTAATTTTGAGTTGAGTCATTTTCGAATTAATAATCCGAATTATTTAGTGTTTGATTGGTTCTAGATTGGATAGGATATACTGGGAAATAATCTTATCCTATGTTTGGTTGGAAATTGGAAAAAATAAGATTACTATTTTAATGAACAAAATAGTCCTTAATTTGTATGATCGTTTGAATAAAAGAATTTAAGAATTTATAACTTTTATTAAAATAAAGTAATTTGAAACTTTAGAATTATAAAGTAAATTAAGGGTTTTGATATATAAAAATTTGCATTCACTCAAACTCAGCTCATTTGGCCCTTAAAAATAGGTTTTAATCTAGTTTCTGAATCTAAAACTGAAATTCAATTAAATAATGGGGTGAGTTTTCGCTAAATTAGGGTTAAATTGAATAAAATTCAACCCATTTAAGAGTTTTAAATGAGCCAAACTCAAGTCAATATAGAAGGTTTTTTTTTTTTTTGGGATCTAGTTTAAGCTTATTGAAGCATTCATTTGCAAAAAGCTCAATTGATAAGATTATGTATTTATATAGAAATTGGTTGAGAAAATAAGGTTAATAAGTGCAATTTAGTCCAAAGGCAATATAGTCCTTTTCATTACATGTAAGTTGGAGCAAATTGGTCACAAAAATTTAAATTAACTAATAGAGATAAATTTGTCAAAAAATTTTAAGATAGGGACAAATTAGTCCGTCTATTATCATACTTTCCCAAAACTTTCTAAACTTCATATGTACTGACATTTCCGAACTTCACAAGGCATTGCAATTTGCGCATTGAGATTGCAATTATCAGGCCATCTTCCTGGGCTCATTCAACAGCAGCAATTTTCCTGGCCCGTCACAGCGTACTGTACAAACTTGCTGGTACTCGGCCTTGTGAAATTTAGAAGCCAAGAAATAGATGAAAGCCCAGTCAACCCATAAGCACCCGAGACAGGGAATCCTGGGACAAGTATGGGGCTGATGATTACAATGAGCGGGGTGTTGACAGCAGGGCCTGTAAGCTTGCCGAGAATAGCAATCCTTGGGCTTAATCTATTTTCTTAAGCCGAAAAAAATCCAATTCATAAGAGGGCTTAAAACATGGTCAAAACCAAAACCAAAGAGACAACAAACAGGCCGAAGCCTATCTCCCTTTTGGATCAGTAATTATTGGATCCATACTGGCCTGCCCAACCAGTTTGGTGTCGTCTGGATCAGTAAAATCTGATATTGAAGGCTAAAATGACAGTACCAAAAATTCCTTTTTTTTTTTTTGGTTCACTTTATTTTTTTTTAAAAAAAAGATGAGCTTTTTTGACCAAAAGGAAAGAAAAAGGCCCGCAGGACCTTAAAGTAAAAAATCCCCCACGACACGACACGACAGGGACAGCGAATCCATTTTGCAGCTGGTCTCCTAACTACATGTGTTGCTGCATAGATTGCCTAATCTTTTGATTTTGCGTCACCAGCAATCCCATGCATGGTAAGGCATCATTCAAGGGAAAAAAATTTCAGCTGGTCTCTGCTTAAGTAGTAGAAACATGCCTGATTAGTAATTCATCGCATATAGAAAGTGGAACTACTACTACTGTTAAAACCCTTTAACGAAAGGGGACCAAAAAGATAACAGTAGTCAGTAGTAGTAACGAAATGGGAATCCTCGTACACGGTAGGCTGTGGAAAGTGTTCGTTGGTGAGGAATTCGGCAGCTAGCCTACAACACTCCATTCCACTCCACGGGCGTCTATAATTAGTAGTAGCTAGCAGCGGTAATAGTAGGAGGAGTAGGAAGGAGGGGTGGAGGAGTTACGTTTGGGGGCAGTCGATCAATCAATCAATCAATGGATGGATGGATGGAAATTTGAAGCTTTGGGATTGGAAGGATGGATGGAGTAGAGGAGCAGTGGCAGTAGCAGGCCAGCATAGCTAGATGCCATATGATTAAGGTAGGCCGGGGACCAAAAAATGGTCACCTGAACTCCACAGGAATGTTTGGGCGGTTAAGAGGGCCAATGCCACGCCACTCAAGACTAGCAGTAAGTAAGCTTGACCCCCTAACTCCAAGTACACGAGAGCGATGGATGTGACGGATTATCGAATTGGCAGACTTGAAGGGGGCCGAAATGCACAATCCCAGTGAGAGATGCCAAGTCCCTTTTTCTCCAGAAAACAGCTTCCCCAGCCCCACCCCACCTTTTGCTGCTGTACGCTTTTTATGTATCCGTGGGCGTGCGCGTGCATTGCTTTGCATGAGAAAGTGAGACAAGCAGCATATTTTGATGTCCATCTCTAACCTACTCAATCAATAATAATTAAAAAAAAAAAATTTCTTTTTTGTTACTTCGCTTACTTACCGTTTCGGTGCAATCCCACGCTGAAAAATAGCTAATTGGATACAGTTTAGCAATCTAATTAAAATATTTGGATGGACCTCTTTGCACATTCATTCATTTGTAGTGGATGTGATATATTTGAGTGTCACGTCACGTTATTCGATGATGACGTAAAAAGTGAGAGAAATTCTTTAAAAAAAAATAATAAAGAGAAAAAAAATGATGATAGGTGAAATAAGATGATGTAAGAATAGTCGTATAATTATAATTAAGTAAGATCATGGGTTGGGTCTGGGTGATTTTAAACTTTTTCTCATTTATTTATTTGTGGAGGGTATTGCGGGCTTGACTTAGCCTCTCGTTTTAATATTAGTCTAAATAAAATATAATAAACAAATATTATTTCGTCATTAACTATAAAACAATGAGTATTGTTTAAAGAGGGCGTATTTTTTTTGTTTTTCCATCTAATAGGATTAATAAGTTATGAATTATGAGTTGGGTTTATTTAGGGTATTTCCCGTAATTAACCTTCACGAGATCCAATGTCTTGTACTAAGTAGTCATAATATTCACTCTTCTACTGCGGCAGAATATTATGCATGGTTTTGCAGAAGCGGACGGTTGTGAGAAATCAAATCATGACTATCATTATCAGTCACTGCAAATCTAGCCCAGCCACGGCAATCTAGAGCCCCCGGGAAACCCCTCCCTCAAAAAAAGAAAAAAGGAAAAAAAAACACAACAATATCAACATCAGGCATCAGCAGCGTCGTATATAGAAGTTCTGTAGGCTCACATTTTCTCACATGGTAGAACAATCTTTTTCCAGATCCTACATGGTAGGTTCCTGTACATTTCACTGTGCAAGACACTGACAATTATAGATGAACATGGTGGTGGACATGTCAGAAGTTCACAGCAGCTTAATTCGGGGAGACAAACATTTGGAAAATCTTCAATTTTACAGTTTTACTACTTCTCTTAATATTCTGATTCTCTTGTACTCTAATTAAGTTCCACTTGTTCCGGTAGTGGTTCTGTTCCCACCGACCCCTCATAGGTCGAATTGGATCTCCGCTAAATAGAGTAGAAGTAGAAATAGGGTTGGCGATTGACAAAAAAAAAAAAAAAAAATTAAGTTCCACTTGACCTTGGGCCTCGACTCGAGGAACAGATCCATTTCCAGCTGCGAGCAAGAGGCTCGAGATCGCATTCTATCATTTATGATTTATTTCCACATCAATTTTCTCCCACTTGATAAGAGGCTTCGGAGAGAGGCATCTCAATTTCCTGGAAAACTATGCACATGCAATAAGGTATACATCTGGTCATGAGGCAATATGTACCGTGTAATATCCAATTAAGCAAGACAGATCTTATTTTATTACTATGCTTGGTTGTATCATATCCGTATCCATGTCTCTCTATTTATTTATATATATATAAAGCGTGAGCACCATTTAGTATTAAAAATTCATGTCATTTAATATACTTGACTTTGTTTGGATTGCATTTTTCTGGATTTTTTATAGAAAAATTACTGTAACAATGTGATATTTGGGAGGTAAAAAGGTGATTGTAAAATGTGTCCATGAAAAACGTGACGATTTTTCTTTGAAAAACTACAATCTAAGGGTGTGTTTAATATATATACCGTTCCATCTTTGACATTTTTACACAATCATAGTTAGTATAACTTCCGCCAAACCACCACCACTTAGCCCATGACACTCGTGATAATCGCACAAAATTTGTTCCTCTAATTAATTTGGCATTCTTTGTCTTTTTAAAATTTATTTATTCATTGTTTTCTTCTGCAATCTGCACACAGGCACCTCACCCAAATAGCAGGTAACAACTAATATACGGCCGGGAGGATCTTAAAGCTGTTTCCTTAGCCAATTGGGCGGCTAGAAATGTGAAAGGTGAATAGGAATTAGGATGAAATGTTCCCCTCAATTACCCAAAGAAAAAAGGATGAGATGTTTCGATTAGGTAGAAGCAGCAGTCACCGGTCCGCAAGTAGACAATGCAGAAGATATTTCGGCTCAAAAGAACTAAACATTAATGATGTATAAAGTACACCATCTATTAATTAC